ATGTGCCACAGTTGTTTTGATGAATGTCGAGCTGTGCCGAAAAGCCATCCATCCTGGTCCATCGACATGAGGTCATGTGAGCGGATAAGATGCGGGTGCTGACCTATGCCTTACTACTGTAAGCGCTCTGGCAGATCGCTCCGCTGAGGTGGGCCTTGTCCGAGCTGACGACGTTGGCTGGAGTCCCGAAGTTTCTGCAGTTGTACCATTTCGACTTGCCGTAGTTGCAGCTGCAAGAACTGTGCAGAGAGAGCCGCCATGTTGGATTTTCTGAGACGCACCGCAGCGCGAAATGCTATGACTGCTAAGATGTATTGCTACACTGCAAGACTTTCGGAAATCCTTCACTGTCCATCTGTGTATCTATTTGTCTGACTAGCTATCAATCAATCAGTCCATCCACCTATCTATCTATCTATCTGTCTGTCTGTCTATCTATCAGTCTATGTAAACATGGAATAAGAGGACATCAAGCTGTCAGAACAGTCTATGATTTTGAATGGAACAGTGCGATGTGTTGTCATGCTGTTTGCAAGAGTTTGATTCATAGCAATGTTGGAGTTTTCCGCCCGAGTAAGTAGAGCTCCTTACAAAGGGTCGACCAATATCAGATGATACAAGACACTGAAACATACGAAGGCTAGAAACGTGGAAAGCCTTAGCGCAAGAGAGCATACATGTCTTCGTTGATCAGATTTGAATCAATCCACGGTGCAACCTGTCAAAGAAAGCAGCAAAGCGTACACATGTCTAGCAGTGAAAACTCTGTCGTTGCACAGCCGGTTGTGTCAGGAAGCTTCGCAGTTGATGCGCTCAGCTATCAAGCACACGGCATCACTGCATCAGTCGAACCACAGATAGTCAGACCATCAGCTAAGAGTACTGTGCATCAGAGTCTGAAGTGAAGCACAGTGCCTCAATGATGTCACAAGGGCGCCGAGCAGCAATGTCACACCATGCTATATCCGACTGTAAGATGAGGCAAGCAGTTTATTTTGAAGTCATACTATGCTCCACTCTGGTCATCTCACACAGAGTCAGAATTTTGATGCGAATTATAGAGGCGTGGTTTCACACTACGTGCACAGACAGTTGCACGTACAGTCATGTACATACGGGTAGGACATAGATGCGCATATCTGTACACGTTTTTGTACATGCACACACCTGCATACGCTGAATCCTGACGGACTAAACTCCCGACCAACCAGGCCCGCAACCACGCCTAACCACGCGCCG